ACATGGTGGTCAAGGTTCTGAGCAATCGCATCCTCCATTGCGTCGCCTTTCTCCCTTTATGGTTCAACCACAGAAGAAGATCAGGGGCAATCCGCCAGCAGGAGGCTCGTGAGTGAGTGTGGCATTCCCAGCTAGTTCTGGGTCAGTTTCAAGATGCCTGCAGCGACACGTTTCGGTCTGCCGTTCTTTTTTGTGGTGTTCATCTTGTGGTTGGTTTTATTATGTTTTATTCTATGTCCATTTGCTTCCAGTGGGTTTGGTCCAGTGCATGCTGCAAGCAGATGGGGTGCTGCTTCTGCTTTGTTGCGCCACATAGGGTGTGACTGTGACTGGATCTCGATCAAGCCGCTGGAGCAGGGAGTAACAGAAAACATTAGATTATAAAATGAACACACTAACATATTCTTGTTTCTGATGTGACAGCGGTGGACGCAAGGCATTTCATAGAGAGATGCAGGGAGCTCTGTTTTGTAGAGTTTCTCTTGATCCCTAGGGCACAACCGTTGAACATCCTGTTTACAAAATGAGTGTTTGGATGCCAAGTGTGCGATGCAAAGCTTGCAATTTGCGCAGGGCATTTTATAGGCAGCTTTTTATTCAAACAGTTGAGACAATGATAGACAATGTACTGTATATTGAGGACCACCACCATTGCCTGCTCCGTCTGAACTTCCTGAATCAGGTCGGGTGTGCATTCTGTCATGAACTGAATTGGTATTCATTATATACAGTAACATTACATAACTATATAACTATATAGTTCTATATAGTTCTGCAATGTTCTGCAAGGCAGCTCTTGCATTCTCTACAAGTAGCATCCAGAGTGTATGCACTATGGGTGGAGGCATGTCATAAATTGGCAGGAGCAGAAACGGAAATGCCATCTGCATCAGGAGCAGGCCTCATGTTGATTCTTTTACTGTATATTCTGTTCATTTATGTTCATTTCCTTTCCAATCTTGTATAATCTTGTCATCTCTTTTTGACGCAGCAGAAAACCGACCACATCTCTTGACCGGCCTCCATTGGCCCAGGAGAAGCAGCAGACAGGAAGCCAGATAACCTTGAATCGGCTCGTGCTTCTGGGGGAGCAGGACCATCTTTGTTTCAACCATGGCAGCTATGGAATGCAATGTATTGTGCCTGTCGGGCGAGCACTGACTTTCTTTAAACAGTTGGCATTTCATAAACTCAGAGGAGGTGCTGTGAAAGCTGAAGGTGGGCAAAGCAACGTGAGATTGCCTTCTATGCCAGGAGCATGCTTACGTTTATACTGACAGCTTGCTTGACACTCAAGGGAGATGTGTTCACACAGAAGGGCTTCTCGACCAGAGGATTCTAGTCAGCAACCGGTTGATCAACAACATGTTCATACAATTTTAACCCTTTTTCCAATGAAGGAGAAGCACAAGAGAGCAAACGACAGAACGTTGAATCGGCGCCTGCTTCTGGGGGAGCAGGACTGAACTATGGAATGCATTGGAATGCCAATGTAGTCTACCTGTAGAGCAAAAAAAGACTTCTTTTAGGGTTTGGCATTTCATATACTGGGAGGAGCTGCTGCGAGACCGGAAGGAGAAGTAGAAACGGGATTGCCTCCTATGCCAGGAGCATGTCTCTTCTTTTTCTTCATTCTTTTTCACTTTAGTGGAACATGTTTTCACACAGCAGGTCTTCTTGACCAGAGTACACTTCGTATATATATATATGTCTATATACAACTATATATAGTTATATATATATACTGTATCCAATAGAAATCAGTCTTCATGTTTCTTTATATTTCTGTATGTTTCAATAAACATGATTATTTTTTATTTGACGCTCTGGACCAGGAGAATCACAAGATGAGAAACCACCACTGGATCCTGCTTCTGTAGGAGGAGAACCACTGCTCATATGCTGCTCTTTTCTGGCAAGGTTCCTACTGAATCACTTTTGTAAATATAGTTATATAGATATATTTTACTTTGTATTACTTTGTTTTTTATGCAATCATTGACAAGAGAGTTGGTGAGATTATGGAAAGCCACATTGTTTACCTGT